TCGGGGCAAAATAGGAGCTGGGATGCTGTCACCTCGGACATCCTACACAGCTTACCTTGTTTACAAGCTGGAAGATGAATATGGTTTTGTTTATCGACCCTCAGAGGTTTCAGTTGGAATTTCTGGTGTTGAAGTCGACACGCGATTAGCATTTCTGGTGCCTGAGGGTAGACCTCAACGGTGTGATCGCTTTGAGGAGGTAGAGACCGGGGAATCAGATGATGATTATGAGGTTTTTACTCCACCCTCAGATGTGGATATGGAGGATGCTTCTAGTGTCATGCAATCTGATACTCATGATTGCATAGAAATGAGTATTAAAGAGGTGAAAGACTGCGTATCTCATAAGGAAGGCCTTATTGTTGAAGGAATTGAGATAAGGCCAAGAATAGGTTAATTATAACATATTTTTGCTATACAGCTACCAATTACCATGTATTTCAAATAGAACATGTTTCCTTTTGCATCACTCATCTATTTCAAGTATCTTTTAGTGCTATGGTAACTGGAGTTCTGGTTTATACATCCATACTGTACTTTCTGTTTCCATATTTATTTAATCAGGGCAATGAACTGGGCTTGCACTTCCCATTTCATAAAACTGTCAATCATTAGTGGAATGCTCAGTAATTAGATGACATGTTTGTTCTCCAGTTTGAACTTTTGTAAGCATAAGATGCAGAAGTCATTATTTTTCAAGAATCAACCTAGGAGCACAAGGCTTTCAATTAAATAGTTGAGTTGACTATTAAGATGCCTTGTGTATTAATTTTGTAACTGAAAAATAATCTCTGAAGAAGTCAATTTTCTTGGAGCGTAAGGCTAATAAAAAAAAACAGCTAGAACAGAGAGAATTAGATTATAAAAACATTTTTTGGATCGTTCGATAAGCTGCAGAATCAAAACCTTGTTCTTTTTGACAATTATCTATACATGGCTCCAAATATTAAGAGGAAACAAAAAACTTCATCAAAAGAGGAGTCTACTTATGTGGAACCATGTCAAAGTCTTCCTGAAAAGCTACTCAACATTCTCAAAAAGCAACCAAGACTTTCAAAACAAGTTCAATCCATAGGTACTGTTGGTATTTCTAAATCATGGAGATGTGTCTCGAAAAAATGTGATTCCATTTCACAGTCACCATGGCTTGAGCTTTCAAATGAACCTCAATGCTATTGCAAAACTCAGCAGCACACCTTCAGCATCTCATTTGAAGAAGCTGGTTGCTATTGGTGGAATGGTAGAAGAAGGCCGCGTTATGATATTTGGAAGCATTTTCACAGCAGCTACTCACCTTGGTGGATATCGGAAGGACATAAGCTACCTATTGATTACTGCTTTCTGAATAGTTCAAGAGCCTATTTTTATTGGAATACTTCCTCGTCTGGTCGCAAAAAATCATTTTTATTTCCCTGTTCTTCCAATGGTTGTGGCACTTGTTGTTTTCCAGGATTTGTAGTTTCTAAGTTGGGAGAAAACCAAAAATGGATAAAACAAGAAAGCAGTCAAAATGGTCTTATTGATCCAAATGATCCAAAGGGTCAACTGATACAATTCAGCAATGCCATTATCTTCCAAGGGAAGTTTTATGCACTAAGTTTGCAAGGAACCCTGGCTGTAATAGAAGAAGTTGAAAATCAGTTTCAAGTCACGCGACTTAGTAGAAGGCGAGCCATTCCTTCAAGCTACTCAAGGCATTTCATAGAGTACTTGGTTGAATCTAATGGAGAGATATTGCTCATTTTCCTGATCTCAGAAAGATCAAACGGGGTGGTGGACAAAGTGGAAGTGTTTAAGCTGAAGATTGAAGATTTTTCATGGTTAAGATTGGAAAGCCTTGGAGATAGAACGTTATTCGTGGGAATTAAATGTGGTATATCAGTGCCTGCAAGTCAAGTTGGCTGCAGAAACAACTGCGTGTATTTTACTCATCGTTACATTGATGGCTGGAGACTGTATGATATGGGAAGTGGCTGCATTTCCCCGTGTTATGATAATGCTGGTTCTGAGATCAAAGATCCAGTGTGGGAGGAGCCAATAATTGGAAAAAGAACATCACGACGATAAAACACATGTTTATGATTCAGTATTTCTTCTTTGTTGTATTATCATTCTGACATGTTAGTAACCTTGTTACAGTGTGAAATAAATGGAGTTCTTGTTCATTTCTTCTGAAACCAGAGTTCAATCATCATTATTGTTACATCACTTGCATCAGTTCATGTTTATTATTAACTCATTTTCCATGCTTTGCCCCCATGGCAAATCGAAATATTATAGTGATTAAGAAAGAAGAAGAAAATTATAAAAGGGACAGGTGACATTTACTCCCCCTCTGTAGGAGTTTCACAAAAGAAAATTATCTGGATAGCATCCCACTGCTTTAGAGCACCATGGGTTGTGGCCATAGCAGCTTCCCTATTGGCCTACAGTATATTTACTTTGCTCATCTCTGTGACTTGGTGACACCACCAAATGTGATGTTTTCCAGTAGACTCGGTTCACTTGAGATTAAGCTGGTGAGTTCTTTGGGAAGACATGGCCATGGCCTTGGGCTGGTACTGGTTTCTTTCTTTGGTGAATGTTGATTCTTTTCCTTCTCGACTTTTTTTTTTTTTTGCAAATGGGAGCTCGCGAAGGAAATTGTACAGGCATGTATCTTGAGGCGGGCTTAAAAGTGATCAAGATCAGATGTGGCCACAAAGTAAGCTAACCTCCAAGGTAGTTGATCTCTTGGAGAACAAGGTTAGTGGTAGTTTCTTTCAATTAAATAGTTGAGTTGACTATTTAGATGCCTGATATAATAATTTTGTAACTGATTAACAAAAACATAAATGAAAAATAAGTTATGAAGAAGTCAACTATCTTTATTCTTGGAGCTTAAGGCTCATCAAATAAACAGCTAGAACAGGGAGGATTAGATTATAAAAGCACCTTTGGATAGTCAGACAAGCTCGGAATTATACTTTGTTTTTTTCGACCATTATCTAGACATGGCTCCAAATGGTAGGAGGAAACAGAAAACTTCATCTAAAGAAGAGTCTGCTTCTGTTGAACCATCGCAAAATCTTCCTGAAAAGCTACTCGAGTTCCTCAAAAAGCAACCAACACCTTCAAAACTAGTTGAATCCATAGGTACTGCTGGTATTCCTAAATCATGGAGATGTGTGTCGAGAAAATGTGATTCCACTGCACAATCACCATGGCTTGAGCTTTCATATGAACCTCGATACTATTGCAAAACTCAGCAGCATACCTTCAACTTCTCATTTGAAGAAGCTGGTTGCTATTGGTGGCATGGTAAAAGAAGGCCGCGTTATGATCCTTGGAAGCATTTTCACTACTACTCACCTTGGTCGATTGTCAGAGGAGAAAAGGTACCTATTGATTGTTGCTTTCTGAGTAGTTCCAGAGCCCATGGTTGTTGGTCTTCTTACTCGTCTGATCATAGAAAAACATTTTTATTTCCAAGGAATGGCCATTGTTGTTTTCCAGATTTTGTAGTTTATCAGTGGGGAAAAAACCAAAAATGGATGAAACAAGAAAGCAGTCAAAATGGTCTTATTGATCCGAATGATCCTAAGGGGCAACTAATACAATTCACCAATGCCATTATCTTCCAAGGGAAGTTTTATGCGCTAAGTTTGCAAGGAACCCTGGCTGTAATAGAAGAAGTTGAAAATCAGTTTCAAGTCACGCGTCTTAGTAGAAGGCAAGCCATTCCTTCAAACTACTCAAGGCATTTCATAGAGTACTTGGTTGAATCTAATGGAGAGATCTTGCTCATTTTCCTGATCTCAGAAAGATCAAACAGGGTGGTGGACAAAGTGGAAGTGTTCAAGCTGCAGATTGAAGATTTTTCATGGTTAAGATTGGAAAGCCTTGGAGATAGAACGTTATTCGTGGGAATTAAATGTGGTATATCAGTGCCTGCAAGTCAAGTTGGCTGCAGAAACAACTGTGTGTATTTTACTCATCGTTACATTGATGGCTGGAGACTGTATGATATGGGAAGTGGCTGCATTTCCCCCTGTTATGATGATGCTGGTTCTGAGATTAAAGATCCAGTGTGGGAGGAGCCAATAATTGGATGAAAAACATCATGACGATGAAACACATGTTTATGATTCAGTATTTCCCTTATGTTGTATTATCATTCTGACATGTTAGTAACCTTGTTACAGTGTGAAATAAAAGGAATTATTGTACATCTCTTTTGATACCAGAGTTCAATTATTACTATTGTTATATCACTTCCATCACTTCTGCTCCAAGAGTGGCCAGTTGAACACCCTTTGCAGAAAAGGTACATTATATAGAGAATTATATAGAGATCAAATTCTGAATTTAATAATGTTAAAAAACCTTGTATAAACTCTTTCATGGCACAGTAATTAAGCGTGTTAATTTTTACTGTGGGTTCGAATCCCACATAGGGCACAATACATTTGGTTATGTTACTCAAGTTTCTTAGTTATTAATATTTCAATTTTAATGATATAGAGTATCATATATGAATACGTGATGAAAATAGAAAAAATCAACATTTTACTTTTAAAAATTGTGTATACATATGTTAACATAATTTTTTTTTTCAACGGCAGTGATTTATATGTAGCAAAGCTAGACACATTTGTTCTTCTATCAATATTTCATTTTAAAAACAATAATCATATATTTTTATCACATAAAATCAATGCATCAATAGAAAAACTAACTTGATTGTTTATATTTGATATTGACAAATATTGAGAGATAGAATTAAACAAATAACATTCAACTCACTTATTCAAGAGAAAATAAAAGTTGAACACGAAATTTTGTATTTACTCTGTGATTTAAATTATACTGGTGAAACATACGACAATGACTCTGGTGTATGGTGTTATGAACGACAATGAAAAAGGACATATGTTTCTAAAATTTTAAACTTCGAGTTCTCAAAGTAAAAAATTAGGCAATGTTTTTTTGTCCTTAACAGGAAGAAAGGAGAAAACGAATAATGCCTTAAAAATCGTATGTTTCATTAGTTACCCCAATTGAAAAAATTATTTCAGTCAAGCTGTTCATCAGCAATGTGCCCAGTCTTGGTATCCTCTGCAAGAGTTCTGTACTTGTTCCGCAACTTAGTCCTTCCCTTGCTCAGTACAGAATTACGGGACTTGTTAATCCTCCATGCACAATTTTCTCTTCTAACTTCAGGCACAAAAACTCGCACAACCGCCTCTTCGAACTCAGGTTTGTACAGTTCTAAATCATCATCACTACTGCATTTTCTTGCTGGTGCAAAATTAAAAACGTTGTGGAGGTGTTTGTTTTCCTTCATGTGATTTTTGAAACCGTTGCCTAAAAATTTCCTTATGTAACTTATTTGTTTCAACTTTGACCAGGTGCTAAAAGTGAGACTTGTTCTGCCTAATGTGAGGGTGATGGTCTTATCATAATCATCCTCGAAAATTTTTGAAGTGTCTTGTTTGGTGCCATTGCATATTCTCTTTATCTGATCCATTATCCCATCTTTTATGTCCTTGTATTCTCCGTCTTGATTGGAAAATTTCTCAAGACTGCCAATTTCAAAAATCAAAGCTAGCGCTTCAATGCTAGCAACATTAACATGTTCATCATCTTCCTCTAATTGTTTCAGAAGATAAGAGATCGATTCTTTCCACTTTTTCGGACTAATGCTCCATCGATCAATGCCTGACAGGAGGAGAACCCAACCTGATATTGCTGCAGCCGTCACAGAGGATGTATGTTTGGTTTCTTGATTCAAGAATTGCCATATAATTTCCATTGATCTTTCGGTGTCTATAAAGTCTCTGGCACCAACACAAGTGACAATAGACAAACATTCAAACACCTTGATCGCGTGACATAATTTGGATTTGGTGACAAGTTCACGGACTAACACAAACAATTCTTCATACACCTCACGTGCATTATCACCGGCACCAAGCGTTAGAACAACTAATCCTATTAGTTGTAATGCTAAATCAATCTCCGATGCTGAACCCCGTTTCAAGCAATTTTGGCATCGATGTATTAAAGTGACAAAATTATTTTGAACAAATTCGTAACGGACATTGGTCTCAAATTGCTTAATCAATGTCTTTAGTGCGTTTTTTCTGGCAGAACTCTTTTTCTTGAATAATTCCTCTAAATAAGTATGGAGATCCTTCTCTGGAATATAGGTTGAATTTGAAGCATCACCCATGGTTAAATTCTTGATGCTATGTGGCAGAACTCTGGTATGTTTGTACCTTAAAAATATTTAATTAGATATTCCTATTTATAAGAATACTAATAACCAAAATAAACTAAGATTAGGAATCCATAATACCAAGTAAACTAGGACTAGAATTAGTTTATTTCCTAACGAAGCTTTTTGTCTGACTAGGAATCAGTAATATAATGAATAATAATTTTTACCCAAATTTCTTTTATGCCGATTGATACATGAATCTAGAATATGCTGTATACGAGATTTCTAAAATATTTTTGTATTCTAAGTTTTTCTTTTTTACCATAAATAGTTTTTTCTTTTAGAAAAAGATTTAAGATGGACAAGTTCTTTTTTTTTTATAGGAAAATGTTTTTTTCTTTTAACTTAATTAACATTCATAATATAATCGTGCGGACTTTGAGAGTTTTGAGGACACAAACTTGATATGTTATCATTATGAATCTCTCTCATGTATTTTGAGTGAATTGATTGAGGTTATTTTTCTTTATATTTTGTACACTCATATTTATATAGTAGATTGTTCATCTCTTTTGTGGATGTACGTCGAATTGATCAAACACCATGTTAAATTTTTGTTTTTATTTTTTTATATTTCTCATTTGTATTTTTACTCATAATTTTTTGAGGTTTACTTTTGGTAGCTTTCGCTTAAGACCTAATTAATTTCAATCCTAACAGTTCCAACTAATAGGCTTTCTCGATTGATATTCGATCTATCCCTTTTTCACCCCTGGAGGCTATGTGTTGCGCAGGAAGCATTTTGAAGAAGCTAATTCCTTCTATAAAATTTAATATGCGTCTGCCTAAGAGTAAAGGATTGTTCATTTTGAACACAAAACTATAGAAATTTTTGGTACCTTGCTGGTGGCTTTTGGTCCTAATGAGTCTATGGACGTCTTTGTTTTATCATGAAGCTGTTGTTTACTAAGAAAAGCTCAACCAACAACTTCCCCAAAATTTGACCTATTGAAAGACGAAAAATCAGTCAAAACTAAAAAGAAAAACATCCTTATATTTTTGCTGTCAAAAGTGAAGTGAATTCTCAACTTTTAACAAAACTCAGTATTTACTCATCCATTATATGTCTAAATGATTGTAGAGAAGGGAAATCAACACAAAATCCATTGATAAATGAAGTGAAACAATATAAGAAAAGCAGAAGTCATGGTTTACAAAAGTGATTTTGTCGATGAAGCAGCTGACGAAGTATAGACACTTGATGAAACAGTGTAAGTCATAGTCTGCTCCTGCATACTAACTTCATAAGTATTTGAAAATGGAGAGGAAAACATATTCAATGGAGGGGGTGAATATGTTGCAACTGGCATTCTTGATGGAAGATTTGGTAATTGAGCTTCAGAGTTTAGAACATGGATAGCTTGCCTTATTGATGGCCTCAGTTTGTTGTCTGGATGAGCACACCATAGACCGATGACCATTAAACGTTCCATTTCTTTCTCATTAAACATTTTATTCAATCTTGGATCAGTTGCTTCGACTAGCTCTCCCGTTCCATACAGGCTCCACACCCATTCAACCAATCTCACTTGATCTTCTGGTGCTTTAATATTTATTGATCTTCTTCCACTTGCTATTTCCAATGCTACTATTCCAAAGCTGTATACATCTGACTCCTTGCTAGCTTTTCCATTCATAATACATTCCGGTGCCATATACCCCACGGTCCCTGCTAGCATCGTTGTTTGTGATCCTTTGTCATGGTCAATAAGCCTAGCCAACCCAAAATCACCTAATTTAGCGTTGAAGTTTGAATCCAACATGACATTACTTGCTTTTATGTCTCTATGGACTACGCATTGTTCCCACTCTTCGTGTAGATACAGTAAAGCTGAGGCAATTGCTTGAGCAATTTTCCACCTGATTTCCCAGACCAACAATGACTTTTCTTTGAAAAGATGTTTATCTAGGCTCTCATTGGGCATCAGTTCGTAAACAAGATGCAGCTTCTCTTTCTCGTGGCACCAACCGATAAGTTGAACCAAATTTCTATGCCTTAATCGACTGATGATCTTCACTTCTGATGCATACTCCTTTATCCCTTGTTTAGACCCTTTTGATACTCTCTTAACAGCTACATATGAGTTACATTCCTTCAATAAACCTTTATAAACATCACCAAATCCTCCTTCACCAAGCTTCTGTCCCTCAGCAAAGTTGTTTGTTGCACGAGCTAATTCACCATACGAGAACTTCTTAGGACCGGTACCCTTTTCAAATTCATCATCCATATCTAGATCAATGAAGACATTTTCTTTCTCATCTCCTTTTCTCTTTTTCCTCCACAAAATGCAACTGGCAGTTATCAAACCAAGAATCAGAATAGGTAATCCTATGCTTGATCCAACTACTAGTCCCTTGCTTCCTTTTCCCGAGGTCCTGAGTACTTTTTGAGGAGGACCCTTTGGTTCTTGAACATGAGTAATTGGAGGATCATTTGGAGTTTGACCTTGAATAGGATGATTTTTTGGATCTTGAAGTTGTATAGGAGGACTTGCACTAGGCTGATTGACATGTTCTGGAACTATGATAGCATCAAAACTCGAATTGAAATCCCAAGACTTGACATTGTTTTTCTGAAACAATTGTCCAGTTGATGCTGAGAAGCCAAAACTAACATTCTCAGGCAAATAATCCCTCAGATCAACGGCGTAGCTTAGTTTGTCTCGATTATATTTTTTCTGAAATCCTGTGAAAACAACTTCAAGAACCTTGGAACTAGCATTGTAACTAATCCAAGCATCATTTTTCTTCCCAAGTTTAATGTCATTTACCCATATTTTAGTAGCAACAGATTCCATAGAATTTATATTGATGCCTACATGTATGCCAAAAGGGTCCCAGGTATTAACAAATGTATCGAACTCTATAGCAACAAATGACTCATATGATGGCATGTTTTCTGTCTCAGCTTTAACAAGACCAAGGCCACTGCCAGACGAACCAACTGGAATACTCGAACCAACAGGAGCTAAGAAAAAGGCTAGTCCATCAGCAAAACTACCGTTACCATTTGAATCAATAACAAAAGAGAAATGCGTAGTAAAATCTGTCAATTCCCTTGTAGCCTTGTTCCATAACTGCAGTGTCTCAATGTATGTGGCGCGTCCTGTTTTTCCACCTAATGTCATGTTACGTTCATTAGGCGTGACTTGTATGCCCTCTTTCGTTACATAGGCGTCTCCAGTGACATTGATAGAGAGATTAACATGAGAAGTATCAATATTGGTGATATTAAAGTTCAATGAATATAAAGAAGGGATAACAAAAATTACTAAAACTAGCAAGATGTTCAAAAATTTGCTGAGAAACATGGCTTAGATGGTATATGATACTTTTTGATATTTCAGACAAATTGCAGTTTAAGTAAACAGAGACACTCTGTGTACACTTCATTTGGATGAACTTGTTTGTCTTTACCTTTTGTTTTCTTGACAATATCAAGGATAGACTATGGACGGCTTTGTTATATAAGCCATTGGTGGACTATTTCTTTTTCTTCAATCTTTCGATATTTGGTATCTTACTCTCGATTAATTCGAACCAATTACATAAATTTAGGTGGAAATATAATAGTTGGATAGCTTATATGAAAGATTTTCAATTATATATTACACGATTCATTTATTTATATTTTCAGACTTAAATTTGTTGTTTGTCCTCAGACAACAATTGAATTGATCAACTCTTTTGTAATAGAAATTCAATTTTAGTTGTTTAATTAGCAAATTCTTTGTTTGTCTTGGGCAACAATTGGATTTGAACATGCCATGTACTACCTCATGAGTCATGGGCTTAGGTTGTCTAAGCCCAATAGGCTTATTACAGGCCCAAAAGAGGAATAAAACGATGAACAACAACATATTCAATATAAAATACTAGAATTTTTGGCTAAAATCATCTCTAAAGTATGACTTTAAACCTAAGTGAACAAAAACCGCTGGAAGATTCATCATTTTGTTTATTTTTAAAAAAAATTCACACCACCAACAAAAGAAAATGTCAAGTCAAATAAATATGTACACATGGCTAAGCTAGTTGAGTTGGGTGATTTTTCTTATTTTTAGAAATTGAGTGTTTATATCATATTCAAACAAAATATATTCTAAATCCTAGATATTCTTTGTAAAAAGTATGGTCAAATACAATTCTAACTTCAAAAATTTCAAGTAACGTACTTTTTTTCATATCTAAACACCTATGTAATTTCACTAAATTTCCAATATTTCTATACATTGTATAAAATGTGAATTGCATTGTATATAATATACATACGTACTAAATATTTTATTAAAGAAAATCTCCAAATAGTTGGGTGTAATATTTTTAAATTGATTTTTTTTACATAATTTTTGTAAGCATCAGAACTTGTTATATAAATATCTGAAGACTTACGTACTGTTACAAGTTAATTTACTTGGTGATACAAAAATATATAAACTAACAACATACAAAATTTAAATTCTGAAAGTGAAAGATTTATTTTTTATCCATATTCTTATTCCTTGTAGGTAACTTTTGATCTTCTCGTTATGACTATGAAGACCAAATAAAAAAATATTTCTTTTATTAGTTCAATTAGTTTCGTAATAAAAAAATATTAAACTTGAACTATAGTTAAAAAGTGATTTTAGCCAAAAAAAAAAAAAACTCTAAAATAGTATTGCATCCAAATATTCTCCTCAAGACCAAACCATTTAATTTCAAATTTTGCAACACAACCAATATCCTACATAAATCCCATCACACATAACATGCTCTTTTATACTAAATTGGATTCATGCCGTATAGAGTCCTATTCAGAGAAAAATGCTTCGTATTCAAAGATTTTTTAATATTTAAAATTCAAATTTAAAATATCTCGTGAAAAAAGAAATAATTTCTTTTGCTATGTCACATGTATTGATATCTTCTCTTTTGTTGCTTTGCTCTCTATCCGATTAAAACGGATGCATAAAACTAAAAGCATGGAGTAATTGAAAACATCGAGATGCTCTTCTCTCCTTTTAAATTAACCTATGATTTATTTTGTTTCCTTAAATGCTACAAGATGCTATACTTTGTACTTCATTTTACCTAACTTCTTTGTTAAATATAATTTTATTATTAAAGGGTGTGTCGAAGTTAGTATAATAAAATTTATTGAATTCATTTTTATCCTTACTCAATAAATATGGAAAAGAAATAATATATGATGAAAAAGAAAATAATATTGAATTCAGATTTAAATAAAAAGAATTATTAAAAATATTTTAATTAATATTTTTTATAGAACATAAAATAATTATGACAAAGCAATAGATCGATTGAGATATTCGTTTATTCATTATATAGTCACTCAGACGGAATAATACCTACTTTGGGCAATTATTCCTTTTGTTAGTGATGCATGTGAAATTATTGTTAGTACCCTTAATTAGTTGGAAGCAATAGATTAATATGCGTTTTATCGCCAGAAATTTACATAAGACAGAATCACTTTACATTATTTAAAATATGGAAATTGATCTTTTTCAAAAAGCATTATGGTCTATGAATTAAAAATAAATTGGTGCTACCTCTAAGTACCTAAACAATAAAATAAAATTAACATCATATCGAACAAAATCAGCATTTAAATAGGAAAAGATTTTTGGTTACTTTTGTGACTTATTTTTAGCCTTTTTACCTAAGTACTCTCTCTGAATCAAATTATTTGTAGTTGTTTCTTTACATGTCTTATATGAAAAAATAAGTAATTAGGAGGGCGTTAATTATTTTATTCATAATACATATATTTGACTCTAAACTTGACTTTAAATTTTAATTTTGATCTCCAACTTTCATAATGTACAAACAGACACTTTAACTATCTAATTTTTAAATAAATAAACACATGAGTTGTACATGACAAAATACACGTAGGACAAAAAATAAACACATGAGGACATGTGTGTCTATTTGTTCAACTTATACAAATTTAAGTGCCTACTTGTACACACCCAATATTGAAGGACATAAATGTAATTTAAAACTAAGTTAAAGAGTATAATTATGTATTATGTCTATTCTTTAATTAGGATGAAATATAGGAGGTTTTAACCAAACTAAACCATTTTATAAAGTCATTCACCAAAATAATATGTTTTTCTAAAATTTTACAAAATTAGTATAAACGTATTCCACAGTAACGTTTTAAAATATATTTTATTTTTTAAAAGTTAATGGTGTCAGATTGATATACGTTACTCAAAGTAATATTTTACTCCTAAAACGTTACTCACAGTAACGTTTTAGGAGTAAAACGTTACTAAAAATAACGTTTTAAAAGTAAAACGTTACTTACAGTAACGTATATCAACCTAATGCTGTTAGTTTTTTAAAAATAAAATATACCCTAAAACGTTACCGTGAAATACGTTTATACTAATTTTGTAAAATTTTAGAAAAATATATTACTTTGGTAAATTGTTTTATATAATGACTTAGTTTGGTTAAAAAATTCGACATATAGTTACTAAGGATAAAATAGAAAAAAAACTAATTAGGTTTGTCTTCAACTTTTATAAACAACAATAATGTAAGAATATAATTTTTAAAATGACTAAAAATAATTTGAGACAGAAACAGTAGTAATCAGTTACATTCCAAGATCTATAACTATTTTTGGAAGAGGAATAAAATAAATTTGCCAAATTGTTTGTGCTCTTATTTAATTGTTGTAAAAAACTATGTCTTATTTTTCCTTTTTCTTTTTTAAAGTAATAACAAGTTTCATTTAGTATGAATATGGTTAATTAGATGTAATAAAATTCTTTAAAGCATTAACCTTTACAGCTAGTATTACTATATTTAGATCAACTCCGTGCGTTGCTTACTCTAATCTTTCCTCAAGAGTTTTTATTTTTTACCATCATAATACTTTTATCGTCTTAAATTTTGTGAGTGTATCTGATTTGATATAAATTTTAATCACTTTTTTCAAAAAAATTATGGTCTAAAATAAACCCTAAATATTTATGTGATTATTCAAAGTTAACATTTTATTAAATATGAAAAGTATTATTCATTTTTAATGATTTAAAAAAGATGACACATAAATTCTACGAAATTCCACTAAATATATATGTTTTAAAAGTTTATAAGTGATTAACTATGCAAATGTAGGACCTTAATATTGCGTCCTCTTTATCAAACCACTACAAGCATATCTATCTATCTATATATATATATATATATATATATATATATACACACGCTATCTGAGTATACAAGCAATGTGTTGGTAATATCATTTTTCTTTTATTAAATTAAGAATCGTTTGGTAGAATTAATTAATAAAATTATGCATATAGTATTAACCTTTATATATTAGCAGTCCTTAGTGTGGCACACCTTTATATATGATTATTCTTATATTAGTTATATATTTTATTGTGTATTAAAGAGTATTACTAATTTCATAATTTTTTAAATATTATATTATATTGAGATAATTTTATATATTCTATCAAACGATTTTAATATTTTTCTATTGTTTACGGTGTATAGTAGTTATTTACTGTCAATTCTAACCGTGTAATTTGAGAGCCTCATTTTTCTTTTAATAATAATAGATTATAAATTATATTTTTAAAAAAATATTAAATACTATTTATAGAAAAATAAAAATTTTCATGTAAAATTATAAAAGAGATTAAATTTAACATATTTGAAACTATGTCTCGTAAAAAATTATATAGATTGGTTTAAGGCCCTTGTTTGATTGTATATTAAATCATTAATGTGCTTGAATCGGTGGGCTGAGGATTTAAATATACATAATTTCGTACCGTGCATATGTTTTGGGTAGCCAAAAAGAGTCAACTTGATAATATTTTATTATGTTCTCACATATGAAAGCTTGAATAAGTGGCAACTCTTTTCAAATCTCAAAAATGGAAGTGATGTGATTAAATATGATATCATATATTTTTCGTTTTTTTATAATTTGATTTTAAATGAAAAAATAAAAAATAAAAAATTAAGGTATAAAAATTATCATAATACTCACATTATCTCAATTTTTAAGACTTATTTGTGTTTCTAGTATTATTGTTACCATAATTCTTATTTGCCAAATTAATAATAAATTAGATTCAAGACAAAGCAACCTGGTTTAACTACTATAATAGAATCTCAACCACTCTTTACCAAAAAACTATGAGAAAAGAGTGCTACAATGATTACACAAAATTGTATCGCCTACGTCCATTGCGCACAGTTATTTATTCATTTTTTAATTGACATATTTATTAAAAAAATAATTATTGATATACTGATTTTGTTATTTTATATTTATTAATTATGAAATGGATAATTTAAAATTTAAGATTTTAAAATAGTAATTTTATCTTTTTAAAAAATTAATCAATTGAGAATATAATAGGTAAAAAAAATTTCTTTTTGATTTGTCAAAATAAATAAATAAAATAATTAAATAAGTAGATAAAACTAGAAGGA